TTTTTCCATTCCCAATCTACCCTAGTAGATTTAGTAAAATCTGTTTCACTGCTTTCTGATCATCCACAAGTCTCTTTCTGTGAGTAAACATTTTATTAATGTCAAAAGAAGTCTGTTTATATAAAATAATGGATAATTAGCATTTATGTTTCTAATGCCTACAAATTAGCATTTTTATTTCTTTAAACCTAGAGTAGCAAATGAGTGTCTGACAGATGCACAATTGCCTATAGGTATAAGTTTCAAATTTAATGGCATTATCAACTTCCACTTAATGATTATCACTGTAAAATGAATATAAAGTAACTTGCTATAGTCATGGCCAAAATTTAAAACTCAGGCAAAATTAATTCCTCATATCCTCTCAAAAATTAAATGTTAAGATTATGGGTTTCTTTTGTTATTGTTAATAAAAGAAGGGGGAATTTCTGGCCTAAATATTTTTAACAGGAAAAATTTGTTAGTTTTAGTAAGAGGCAAGAGAAATATGTCCAAAGAGGATTTTCCCCCTTAAAATGCAGTAGTTATAACAGAGATATAAATAAAAGGAAAATCAAAACTACTCATTAAAATATATTGTTCAAACTAAACAAAATGTATGACAGATATAACTGTGCTTATTCAAATACTTTCTAATTAGCACAGAAGGGTTGTCAATGTGTGTACCCACAGCCCTAAATTTGGAGAGTAGCACAAAGTATTTTATCACAGGATAAAAACAATGTGCATGCTGTACACTTATTTCCCTATCATCTATTTCTTTAAAAACTATTTTGATAAAAGAAAATAAAAACTATTGAGGCAACCAGGCAGCTGCATTTATGGCCTTAAGGTTTACATTAAATATATTAGACAAAGTGTGGTGCTTTTTAAAAAAATTCAAGATAAATAAGCAAAAACACTGTTTGCAATCAACCAGTTCAATAATGTGTATATAATTGTTGAAAGAAAAGAAATCTTTTCAATGAAACAAGTCAATTACAATTAAAAAAATTTTATTAGTAACATTTTTAGCCTAGTAATCCCTCAAAATAAAGAAAATCTAGGACTTCCCTGGTGGCACAGTGGTTAAGAATCCACCTGCCAATGCAGGGGACAGGTTCTATCCCTGGTCCAGGAAGATCCCACATGCCACGGAGCAACTAAGCCTGTGCGTCACAACTACTGAGCCTGTGCTCTAGAGCCCACGAGCCACAACTACTGAGCCTGCAAGCCACAACTACTGAAGCCCGCTCGCCTAGAGCCCGTGCTCCGCAATAGAGAAGCCACCGCAATGAGAAGACATCGCACCGCAACGAAAAGCTGATCCCGCTCGCTGCAACTACAGAAAACCCCGCACGCAGCAACAAAGACCCAACACAGCCAAAAAATAAATCAAAAAAAAAAAGAAAGAAAATCTATGAACTACTATGGGAAATTAAATTAAGCAACATGTAAAAGCACCTGGACAGCTGGAAGATGAATACTGTCAGGTAAATACAAAACTGAATTATCAATTAAAAAATATATTAGTGTCTTTTAAAAGTATGAAAAAGACATTTAAAATATGCTTAAAATAATCATTAGAGATATATTCAGGAAAAAACTTATTAAATGTACTACTTTTTCCATTCTACAGGGTAAAATAGAGAACAAGGGTCTTGACAAAGATTAAAACTTGAAATAATAGCCTATCTGGGGACATCAACTATTCATTATACCTTTAACCTCTTCTGCAAAGATTCTTTCTTATTTTATAAACATGCTCAGTTTTGAAATTGTAACTCCCTCCCAGACATTACCTTTTCTCTATCTTTCCATTTTTAATTGAGCTTATTGAAAGTCATCTACATACCAATGTGTCCGCTTTTTTAAAGAAATCTTTCTCCTCAAACCACTGCTATCTGGCTTTTGCCTCCACATATAACTGCAGTGCCGAAGCAGTCAGTAACCCACATAGTGCCAAATTCAAAAACATTTCTCTGTCTTTTCACTGCTTCACAATGCACTACTGACCAGTTCCTCCTTGAACTTTTCTTTTCTCCTGACGTTGGTTATGGCATTCTTTCTGCCCTATTTCTCAGATCATTCCTTTTCTGTCTCCTTAGCCAGATACTTTTCTCTGCTTCCTCGTTGTAGCATAGACTTTCCTCTTTTCCTAGACAATTTTATCTACTCTCGTGGTTTCAAATGTCATCTGTAAATTGACGATTCCTAATTTTTATCTCCATCTCAGGCCTCTCTGTTGACTTCCAGAAACATATCATATCTCCATCCAACTGTCTATGATATTTCTCCATTTGGATGTCCAAAGGTACTTCAAACTCAACATATCAAGAAAATCGCATGTACCTTTTCCCCCCTATAACTGGCTGTTTCTCCTGAAATCCCTACCTTAGTTCAGTATTACTATCTATCACCCTATCAAGACACCTGGATATCATTCTCTCATTTTTAATAACTAATCAGTCTCAAAGTCCCATCAATTCTAGCTCTTAAATATTTTTTAAAATCTGTCTATTCTTCTCATTTCCCACTGCTATCACCTTAGATTGGACCCCTCATCATCTCTCACCTGGCCTACTGCAATAGCCTCTTATGTAGTCTTGCTGTTTTCAATTTTATTCCCTTCCAATCAGGCATCTGTAAAGCTGCCAAAATGATCTAAGACATAAATCTGGTCATGTTTCTCCCAAGCTGGAATAATTTCTATAGCATCCCACTGCTTAAAGAATTGATTTACTCATTCATTCAACAAATATTTACTGTTTAATGAAAACAGATATGATGTTAGGCGCTGAATATATTATAGTGAATGAAAACATTTAGAGAACACGGAGAAAGATAGGCAGTTAAACAAACAATCCCTTAAATAAACGTATGATTACAAATTTTGACAAATGCAACGAAGGAATATAGCAGGTCACAAAGAGAAAAAGAGGGGAGAACTATTTCAGATTAGAATGTCATATTACTTTTGGGAAAGTAATATCTAAGTGAGTTTTGATGAGTACAAGTTGCTAAAGGGAAAAGCATTTTTGGTAGAGGGAATACCATATACAAGAGATTTGAGAGGGAAACGAGCTTAGAGTGTTAGAAAAATTGAAAGAAGGCTTAATTGGCAAGAGCTTAGTGAGTGAGGGAAGGGGCCAGGTCATGTACAGCTCTGCAAGCCAAGTGGTATGGATTTAGATTGCCTAAGGGCAAATGCACACAGTTTAAAAGTTTTAGGCAGATGAAAGACATGATTAGATGTACATTTTTAAAAGTTCACTCTGGCTGTTGGTAGAGAAGAGATACAGCCTGAGTGGATGTGAGGAAACCAGTTAAGAGGTTACTGCATTAGTCCAGGTGAGAAAGACAGTTGTGGGAAGTTTCTGTTAACTTGTATAGTAGAGGTTATCTTTAGGTAATATAAGCCTATAATGTAGAAGTCCCCAGTACTTTAAAAGATGTCATCCTGCTGAACAAAAAGGCATGTAAAAGCTCAGGATTTAATTCATTTGGATATACTGTCATTAGAACATTTCTGCTCAGAGAACTTATTGCAAAGCTACATTGATGACGGTCTATCATCATGCAGCTTCTGCCAAACCTATGCAATATCTGACCTTTTATATAACATCTCTACTCATATGACTAAAAGGCATATCACACTTTACATGGCCAAAAAAATAAAGAACCTTTTGATTTCTGCCTCCGAACTAGTTTACCCTGGTAAATGGCACCATCATTTACCCAGGCATTGATGGCAAAAATATGGGAGTTATCCTATATTCTCATCTCTTTCTGTCATATGCCGTAACATATGTACATTAATTACCAACTTAAATATAATATTCAATGTAATTCTATGGAAATTATTCTGTAAGATTAAATAAAATATGAATTTGGCTACAAACTCTCTGGTAGTATTTACATTCATATAGCCTTACCAAAAACAGATTATTTCATTAGAGGGCAGTTTTAAACAGTAGTAAAATATATTATAATATAGTGCTATAATTGTTTTATACCTTAATTATTCTTTACTGATAATACCTCTACAATAAATGTATAAAGATAAAGCACGCATAATTTCTTAGTTCTCAAATTCATTTACTAATTCATTCATTCCTTCTCAAGAACAGAAAAATCTATAGCAAATATCTGTCAACTCAGGTCTATAAAAAATAGTAAGATCAGATGTACAGAAGTTTTCTAATTTGTTTCGAAATTAGTTTCTGAATAATTCTCTAAGAAGACAGTTAAAATTAGATCTATTTCACACTAAATAGGTACTTCCTCAATATTTCATTTCCCCGATACTGTTGACCTATGAGTCATCCTACATATGTAAACTTTTAGCCAACTAAAGTTTACGGCTATAGCGCTAAGTTATTCTTTTTTAATTTTTTAAAAATATTTGTAAAATCTACTTCATCAGCCTCCGCTCAAGGCTTCAAGGTGGATTCTATACCTCTCCTACTTCAAAAGTGCAAGTGGAAGTGGAAGCTACTTTCCCTTCTGATTGGTGGCTTTGGAGTTTATCTCTGCATTCATAATTGTATTCCTTAAAGTTAAAGCTATCAGGAGTTTAACTACCAGATAAGTGAGACACAAAATCAAGTATCATTATTATAGCAATGCAGTAATACAGAACATTACTATGTTCAAATAACTTTTTCTAAATTAGCCACTAGGTAATATGCTAACCTCACATCCACAGTTCTACACAATTTTATGATAGCTAGAATTAAAAAAAGGATCGATATTATATCCATTATAATACCATTATAGGAAGAGATTCCAAAGTTGGCATAAAGGGCCAAAGGTAGAAATTAGCTTATACAGAAAATAATTTGTATAGGCCAAGGAGGCCCTTTGTGCATAATACCACCTAAGGTAATTCAGCCCACAAAATACGGACTATCAGACCATAATCAAAATGAAATGCTTTGAAAAAGTGAGAGAGAGCTTGGTTTATGCATTGCCATAAAACTATGGATGGATGGGCATAGCGCATCTCCTGTTGCACGCACCCTGTTGCTCGTCAAGTGACATGGATCCGAGCTGTTTGTTAACCACAGAAGAAGGAGAATCTGAAACAAAAATGAGATTTCAACTTAAAAGTAAGCAGCAGAAAACTGCACAGCAATGTTATGATCATCTCTAAGCTTAAGAAACAAATGTATAAGGTTGGGGAATAGAAGTAAGTACTGTGGTGTGTTTCCCAAGCAGTGAGTAAGCAGGGCCATGTGCTTAAGATATGTTATTCCAGGCAAGCGTTTAGCAACTTTGAGAATGAGTTGAGAAAATATTCTTCTACTTCCATGCATATACCTTTTATCAAATTCATTTAGCACAGGCACAAGGTGCAAGGTAGATAAAATAGAAACAGTGTATCTCCCTCGCTAAAGGGAAGACTCCTTGATCTTCTCAAGCCCTCTCTCCAGCTCCTCAAGATGGCTTTCATTTTGGATTGGAGGATTCAGAGCCTGAAATAAGATGTTCACTACACTTAGCTAGATGTTATCTTGAGCTGAAAAAAGAGCTCCAGTGAAGATTTATGACAAAGAAAATAGTTTATAAGAGAAATATTCAATGAAGTAATTACCATTACAGAAACATAGATGACTTTTAAAACTCTGTGGTATGTTGTGCATGTTAAAACTGTACTGTGAAGGCTTAGGTTTCTTTAGGTGCCCGGTGAGAAAAGGAAAAGAGAGGCAACGAGAAGGCTTATGGTCTGGGCTTCATGCTTTCCACCTTGGCTTCAAACAGAACATTTTATTTTTATCCTTTGGATTTCTATGTACAATAATTTGTTTTATAAATAAATGGGTTCTATTGCTTGAAAAACACTGGTATAATGAAAGGCAGCATGATAAAATGGAAAAGCACCGGTCTAGAGTTATTCAGTGTTGATTCCAACCCTGGTTTGACAATAATTAGCTATGTGACAGAGGACAAGTCCCATTTTTAGATCCAACACTCTCCTTCCTTCCTGGTCATCCTAGGGACCTGGTAACTAAGAAAGGCACTGGGGAACAGAAGGAGGTGGCTACTATTCCTGGCTTGGGTTCTAGTGTGCTAGTGAAGCTACAGGAAGAGGGAAAATGTGGATAGCAAGCATAGCTCTCTACTAACTGTAAGAACAATTCCTAGTTTCTAACAGCCTATGCTCTGTTCATAGAAAATGCTGTTAATAAAACAAAAACTCTGCACTTTTGACTGATCGGTTTCTATTCATAGTGGCACATTATTCCCCCAAATGTAAATATTTTGATTTAAGAGTGTCCTTAACTCAATAGCTAAGAGTTTCTTAAATATCCTTGATTCTCAGCAATTTCATACCACTTGACTGCTTCAGTCTGTACACTTTAAAAAGTCTGAATTCTGCTACTGGGACTACTGGTATCAATCTTAAATTGTCTACCTTCTGAGATAACCAGTGTGCTCATAGATTTTTGTATTACTAGATTTTGATAAAGCATGATCATTATTTAAATAATAGCTTTTACTTAAAGTATCCTTACTTATCACCTCTTCATCAGAATATTCAGCTCAACAAATCTGTATTACACAAAAAAGAAAGCAGGAATGATAGTATTTTAATCGGTTCCCTAATCTAGCCATGCTTTGCTTTGCTTTTCTAAGACTTCTCAAATATCCATCTCAGAGTTAGATACAACATTCCTATCTATGTTCTTTTTGAAGAGCAGATGAGTCAGTCTTTAGAGACAAACAAAATTATATTCTTTAAGAAAAACAATAAAAATGTGACTCACAGTGAAATAAATATTGGAAAATCTTCCTAGAAAGCCCCTTATGAAATATTTTTTATCCCTTTGGATTTGTTATACACTTCATTATACTCTCATTAAGAACCCTCAGAAAAGTAACAACTCTCCAAGCAATCTTTTTTCAAATATTTAATATTTTCATGAATATTATGGAACGTACAAATCTTATTAAAGTGCATGTTATGTAAGCTTTTAAATAAAACACATTGAGAAAGGATCTAGAATGCTATCATCTCCACAAAATTGTGTGTTTTCAAACTCTTGAAGTATTTAAAATATTAACAAAGTTTAGGTTAAGACAAAAAGATATTAAGCTAAAAGGGCTTCTGTTTTGGTTTTACAGTCTGTCACAGATATCGTGTATATCTGGGGAGTTGTCGTTCTTTCCATGTTGAAGACCAATCTTTAAGAAGAAATCCTTCTTGATCATTGCTTCCACTCTATTTTTAATTTTGGATACCATGCAACTGTTTTTGGAAGGATTACTTTCCTGTCACATAAAACATTTGAAGTAAAATGTTTCTGTATCACTAGATATTCAGAAATACAATACCCATATCTTCCAACTTACAGAAATATTTCCAAATGTTAACACAATAGTCATCAGAATATCTAATATTAAAAAGACAAACAAGTATTAGTTCAATGCTGATTGCTTCAGTGTTTGCATACTCTATTCCATCTTTCTGTGAAATGTCTTCTGGAAAGCACTATCACAAAATAAAAATCTGACCATATGGTCCAATGATAATTTATTACAAAATGCAATACAGTTGGTCAGCCTATTGGAAATATCTTAGATTATTATTATTTTTAAAGTAGAGATAAACTTTAAGCAAAAGCTCCTTCAGTCTAAGCTCAAGGTGTCTCATAGTTAATTACTGTGTATCTCCAAAAATTTCGTGTTTTAGTTTTGAGAAAATTCTTTAGCCCCTTGACATCTGAACTTTTTCAACTGTAGAAAAAAATAAGGAATTATTATCTAAGTAACAAGAACTCTTTAGTCAGACTCCCTGGGTTCAAATCTGGCTTTCCTACTCAGTAATACTGTAACCGTGGGCAAGTTATTTAACGTCTCTAAGTCTCAGTTTCTCCATCTGTAGAATGGGGATAATTACAATATCTACCACATACTGTTCTTGCGAAGATTTAATGAGATAATCCATGTAAACTACTTAGACAGCATATATGTTATTACTTGCTTGTTTTTCAGAAACATGGTGTTGAATGAAAAATGATGATAGGAGGCTGTTCTGAAAAACATGGAGCATGGTCCCGCATTTAAAGTGCCAAGAGACCCATCACTGTTTTGCTCAGGACCCTATCATTCAAAGTAGTTAAGAAGTACTTGCAGAACTATGTCAACATTACATCTGATTTACTAACTGCTTATGTTATTATAATCACTAAAAACCTGGGTCAAACGCATCTGTTTGAGAAGAGCTACGTGTAACTGACATCACAGACACTGTGGGGAACTGGATGTTGTATAGAACCTGCTTGCACAGGACAGGGTAAGTGCTGATTTTTTCCAATATGGCTCAGTTTTGAAAAGCCCTTTAAAATATTCACCAATGTTTTATACCCTTTAAGGGGTATAAAATTTACTTTTTTCTTTTCCAATCAGCAAAACCGTGCCATAAAGTGAAAAAACAGTTCCTACCTGACACCCTCTCTAGGCTGGCTCCATGCTCCAGTGGGGCTCTGTGGTGGTTGGGCCAGTACCAGCAGACTCCACAGGGTGTTGTCACTCTGAGCAGGAGCCAGCAACCCATGACTTCAGGGGACCTGAAATGGAAAAAAAGAGTTGGGTTTAAAATCAGCCATATGCTGAATGCCTCTGCCATAGCTGTTTACGGCATTCATCTGATAAACACACATACAGCTCATTCAAAACCCTGAATGCGGGCTTCCCTGGTGGCGCAGTGGTTGGGAGTTCGCCTGCCGATGCAAGGGACGTGGGTTCGTGCCCCGGTCTGGGAAGATTCCACATGTCGTGGAGCGGCTGGGCCCGTGAGCCATGGCCGCTGAGCCTGCGCGTCCGGAGCCTGTGCTCCGCAACGGAGAGGCCACAACAGTGAGAGGCCCGCACGTACCGGAAAAAAAAAAAAAAAAAATACCCTGAATGCTATCAACCTTACATGGCCATAAAATGAGGACATCTTGAGGTAGTAAGTTAAAGTCACTATAATTAAGATAGTCCATTACTATGTGTACTGTTCTACTTAGGAGTATAAAAACTTTATACAGTATTCTCTATCCCATTCTTATGCCATCTCTATAAATTATGGCAGGCCACGCTACTTAAATAAATCAATAATTGGGAAACTGAGGCATAAAGCAGCCAAACGACCTGCCCAAGGTCATTTGTCATAGGGCCAGGGACAAGAACTCAGTCAGTCTAACACCCAGGCAGTGATCTGATGAAGGCAAATTCATCGCTTTATGATTAAAAAAAAAAAAAAAATGGAAGACTAGAAATGAGTTGTGATGTATTTCCTAAAAGCCTAGAAAAAAGTGCACTTTTTAAAAAAAACTAAACTGAAAATATTTTTAAAACATATATACACTGACTTCGAAAAATAAAAAGTTTGGAAATTAGCTATGAATAATTATCATTTACAGGTGTCAAAAATTCTTTTAGAGGAGTGGTTTTCAAAGTGTGCTTCGAGAGCAGAGGTGGCTTGGGGGTGGCAAGAAGGACAAGGAGTTGGGTTGTCATTTCTTAACTCTCTTTATGTTCAATCACAACAGTGTCACTTTATGTATTTTATATTAGAACTTCTCCATGAAATTCTGATTTCACAGCTGAAAAGAAGGGGGGGAAACCATTGTTTAAACATACCTTAACATCTATCTTATTTAGCTCATTTTAAATAGCACTTGGCGCCTTGGAATGATGTTTTAGTTTCCAACTGCCAAGAAATATTGCCATCACGCGCCTTCCCATTTGATCTCATTAAAATGTAGATTATTTCTATAAAATGGCTTGATGGCTTGATCCCATTTTCCTACAGAAATTAGGTATTAGGCAGATTCATCTTACACTTAGCCTTTCACAAAATATTCTCATGAGTCCTATATTTTGAAAAGAGAATGAAGTATTTATCAGACAATGTAATCATTCAGAAATTCTACACTTGTTAAAATTTCTTGGTTTCCAAATCACATTAATGGCTCCTTTGAATATCTTATACCTAAAAGGCTTCAATAGGTGAGAAAATGACAGAAGTATCATTTATTGACAGTATCATCACTTGCTGACACTGTGAAGACAACAACATATAATGGGAAAATGTTTTATGAGAATTGCAGTCTTCTAGTGTTAAAAAGTTAAAATCTAGAATGTTAATTCTGTGCTATTCTATATTGATGATTTTAGTAGTAACATCTAGCATGAGTGAATGGATCAATTAATGTCCATAATATACATACACAAAATTGTATTCATACATCATGAAGTATAAGAAAATGTTTTGCTAATTGTTATTCAAATAAAACCTATCTCCCTGTTGAATTTCATAAATTTAATTCCTATTCTGTATTTTTATAATTTGAATGTTTTGAAATGAAGAATTTTGCATTAAGTCAACTCATCTTTCCTCGCATCCAAAATTTACTAAATGGACAAAATATATATACTTTATTAGTTGCCCTTTGTAACAAACTAACAATACATTATTTAACTGTTCTTAAAGTTTTTAATTACCAAATAGTGTTCCTAACATATGAGGATAGAATAAGATAAAAGTAACACTAACAAATGAACCCAGGCCATGTTACAGGTTAGACTTACTAGGGGTCTCATGTGAATGCTATGTTAAAAGCGTATGACATAGATGACGTATTTCACCTTGTAGGTGAAGGGAGCAACATACACTGAGTGACAGCACTAAGGGCCTCTAATATTGGTCCACGTGGGCAGCCTCAGCAGCCCAAGTAAGTTGTTTAATAACAAAATTAAGATAACATGCTTCTCAACTTCAAAACTGGCAAGGCATCTAACTCAACTTTGGCTTTTTAAAATATACTGGTTATCAAACTAGGCACTATTTAATAAGAATGATGCTTAGAGTTGGGAAAAGAGCATCTTATTTTACAAAGACCATATAATCACACTAAACCTTTCTGATTCTATAAAGAACCTGCTTTGATTCAAACTGATAAACTAGATATAAAGACTGAGTGTCAATATTTTCCTAATGTCCACAATGTACATTTCCCTACTGATAATGTAGACAGTCTTGCTTTATATTCAAATTCACTTTAATACTTGGTTTGTTATCTGCTAAATTTCAGTATTTAAAAAATATTTATACATGTAGGGATGCTTTATCTTCCTTCTTATTGTTTTATATGTTGTATATTTTTACTTTTAAAACCCCTGAGCTAGAGTTTTATACACAGCACAAAATCATAGCAAAATTTTTATCATTAAATGTCACAACTGTAATCTAATCAAACTTTCTTGTGAGTTTTAAGTATAGGAAAAGATTTCCCTATAGTAAGAGAAAAAAAAAAAAAAAACCGACAGAGAGAGAGAGACATCTTCTTTGCTTGACTGATATTCTCTCTATTAATATAACACTAAGTTAAAAATCAGGTCCATAATTTGTTCCAAACATCACACCTACATTGCAGTTATTTAAATCTATTTTATTTCACCATGGTATTATATAATATGCTTTTATTACCACAGCACTTAGTGGAACAGATATTTATAAACTGGAGGTTGTCCAGTTCTACCAATAAACAGATTAATTCCAAGTAATTTAATCAGAGTTCTCAAAGTGACTAATTCCCAACTCATCACTCCTTAGGGTGCCAAAACAAAGTGTATCGAAGTAGTATAATCTCGTTAGTATGACAGCACCTACTATAGTACCTATAGTACAGGATACATAGTATCTACTATCCATCTTGAAAGAATTAAGTTGACAGATTATTTTATGTGATACCTTTCACTAATTCTTTCAACGAATGTTTATTGAGCATCATGAGCTTTTTGGCCATAAAAAAAAACTTGAGCCACTAAAATACTCAACGAAAAAGAGAGTGACACAGATTATTACTGTCTTATCAGAGTTTTATCACATAAAAACAGGAACATAAAACTGGAATATTTTTGTTGCCCTGTATACCAGAAAGTTGATTATGTGTAGGAGGAATAAGTAAGCAAATATTGAAAATTTTCAAATAATTACAGAAGGGGATGATTGAGTCAGCATGCTAGAACAGCCAAACAACATTATAATTCTAAAATCTATCAGTACTAGGTTTATATGGGAATAGAAATACTGGTTAACTTTCAAAGCAAAAAAAAAAAAGAAGAGGAGCTAGGAGCCATAAGTACAGTTATCATCTCAGCATATAGGAAATTTCAACAGAACTATCAATGCAGGCTCTAAGTTCACTAGATTATCACATAGTATCTCATTAGCCATAAAAGTAATAAATATTTGCCCTTCTCTAAAACTACAAATAAAATAATGGACTATTTTATATTTGTCTCTCTAGCAAGTGCTGCTGCCAATCTGTCCCTCTAGCATGTGATGGTAAACTTCACCATATGCAAGAAACGGAGGGAAAAGCTGCAAGCGCATCAGCTTTCTTTGGAAGGGGAAAGGGGAAGCATCTTATTACACAGCAGCAGTGTTAAAAAACCAACTCTACGAGCTGCTTAAGGACACTGGACATTAATAACCTGAAGCCTGAGGGTCCTGTGAAGAGCCCTCACGAGAAGACTGATCAGAAGTGGAAGGCTGTTGCTGGGTACGCACAGCTAGCTCCTGCTGCCTCTGCTGCTCAGCCTTCTTAAGCCTCAGTTGTTGCAGGCGCTTACGGAGCAAAGCTATCTCAGGCCCCCTTAGAAATTCTGACACAGATAGGAAAAGAAAGGTGAAAAGATAGTAATAAAACAGAACATAGTAAGAATCTGATTATACATTAAAGACAGAAGGGTATAAATAAAACACATGTCTCACAGAGGAATACTAAAAACAAATTACTCAAAAAAATTACTGATCATTAAATTATGAAAAACTATACATACTTACACACCCAAATGCTTCTATTTAACTATGATGAATTAGACACACAGAGTTCTCTAAGAGTATTTAAGTAATTAAACGGAATGAAAGTAAAGTCTTCCATAAGCAAAAGTGAACATTGCTTTCCTAATTGCATCTCTTTTTACAATACTAAGAAAAATTGAAAAATATCAGTTACCTCATTTACTCTATATACAAAAACTACTAATTTCAATCAAATAATAATTAAGATTATGAAAAAGTTATGCATTTGGAAATAACTCTTGAAATTTATTAGTAGAGAGCCCTTTAAAAAGTAAAAGTTTTATATTTTTCAGCTAAAATACTTCTTTTTATGTTGGAATTATCATTTACTTTTTCTTTTGAGCTAAAAAATATTTACATAATCTTTAACATTTTCTTAAACTTTTTCTGAGGCAGTGGTCACAGATAAAAAATAAAATTAGTATAACATGAAATTCTGCAGAGAATACTGAGTACCTACTAGGTATGAGGCATTGTTTTAGGCTCTGGGGATAAATAAAACATTGAACAAAAAAATAGTCCCTACTCATTTGTTCTGAGAGGAAAACAGACATCACTGCACACATACACACACATATATAGTATACATGTATGCATTTATCTGTGTCAAGTAGGGATAATTGCTATGAAGTAAATTGGGCAGGGTAAGGTCAGGGTGATGAAGATTGTAGGGGAGTGGTTGTTGTTTTATGTATGGTCATAAGGGAAGGCTTCTCCTCCTAAGATGATTTTTGAACAAAGACCTCAAGGATGTGAGGGAGTAAACCACATGGATATCTGGAGGAAGAGTGTTCCAGGCAAAGGAAAGAGCAAACACTAATGTTCAGAGGGGGAAGTATATCTGGATGTGGGATATATACTACAGGTAACGGCAGAAAAATTTGCTGATAGTTTAGATGCAGAGTGATCCCAAAGTTTTTGGTGTAGATAACAGGAAAAATGGAGTTGCCATTTATTGTGACGGGAAGAATAGAGAAGGAGCAAGTAGTATTAGAGGGAAGAAAAAAACTAACAGATATCCGAGTGGAGAAACTGAGTAGGGACTCACTGTAATAGGCTAGAATTCACCAGTAAATGTGGATGTCACTGATGATGTTACTTTAAGCCACATTAAGAGAGTAAGTCATAATAAAGAAGTCTAAGAACTAAATTCTGGGACACTTCAGTGTTTAAGAGAAGGAAGAACAGGAAGAGTAAGGAGAATCCAGTGAGGAGGCTGGAGAACTGAGTGAGCCAAGTTTTGTGAGCTCAGTGATGAAAGTGTGTCAAGAAGGATAAAGTAAGCAGCTATGTCTGCTGATACAATGAAAAAGATACTGACCGAGAACTAACCACAATGAAGACTTTGACAAGAGCCGTTTCAGTGAAGTCACAGGGGCCAAAACCTGGCTGGAACAGGTTCAAGAGAAAGGGGAAGTAAAGAAGTAGAGGGACAAAGCATATATACTTTTTCTAGAAGTTTTGCTGCCTGTGGGGAACAGAGAAATCGGCTGATTGTTGGTGGGAGAACAGAATCAAGGGAGGTTTGTTTGTCTTAGTTTGGGAGATAATTCATATGTTTGTATGCTGATGGACAACGTTTAATTGGGAGGAGGAAGAAAGATAATGAATGAGAAGTGGGCAAATGCGGGAATGATGTCCTTGAGTAGACCAAAGGAGGTGAATTACAGCGGATAAGAGGAGGAATTGGCTTTAGATAGGTGCAGAAAAATGTCATCCACTCTAACCAAAGAGGAGGCCGAGTATATGAGTAGAGATTAGTTGTAGGTTTGATGGAGGGAGCACATGGAATTTCTCTCACTGACACTGACAGCAAATTATACAAACTACCAAATAACTTTCAGCCTCTTTTATATAGATTGTAAGAGTGTAAAATTTGGTTTGTTGTTTCAGAATCAATCATGCCAGAGACACTAACCTCTTGTTACCATGTCCCCTATTTATAAAGAATTTTATTCAATTGGCAGTTAAGGTTTAACAATTCAAGTGTCATCATAGTCTCTCACTGCTAGTTCCTCCTAGAAAATTCTCCAGTACCAAGTAGGATAGTATTCATTAACAAATAAATTGTGACGCTCAGTAGTATAATGCCTTCTTTTTAGGTATATACATATCCCATAGTTACTGTCAGCATAGTAGTAACACTTTTAGCAACATAAAATAAAGCATTATTATGCAGCCATAAAGTTTGTCATTTTATACTTCAAAAGAAATTACCATAAAGAGAGAAATTACAGATATGTCAAGTTTTGTTAAGAAAACTGGAAAAAAAATTCACCCAACTTCATGGTTGTTTCAAACCCTCTCTCTTGCACTGCCAAATGTTTTATGTCTCCATCTTAGACCCACTAGGTGATGTAGCAAATCAATAGCAGGCTCTAAATATAAGCAGTGGTGCTCTGTAACTTGTAAAATTAAGATTTAGTTACCAAAAAAAAAAAAAGATTTAGTTATGATAATGTCATGAACCATTAATTCAATGCTCCCAGTGCTTTTCAAAGAAGAATTTGTTTGCTTATTTGAAGGCTGGTTGTATGCCTCCCCAGCCAAGTTTAAAAAAAAAAAAAAAAAAATTGAGGCTAGGGAATGAAGTCATCACACAGCTAACTAGGAAAGGCAAATATTGAATTAAAAATTCCAAGCAGAAATACCCGTCTAAACAAATAGTTCTGCTAGCAGTTTGAAGTATTAAAGGCACATAAGACACATACACATTACATCTTTTTAAAAATGTATAAACAAACATATATAATTTGTAATATGAATAAATGCTTGGAGAACTAATTTTTGTTAACATTAGCCAAAATCGAAAGTGAATACACTGAATACCTTTGGGTTGAATTTTAAAAACAATAACAAAACAATCCTCAATAATGAGTCAGGAACTGCTAATGGGAAATTTGTACTTTCATCTCCTGAAACTACTAACCTTGCTCTTCTTGTTTTTTTCTGAAAGACTCTAGGCTGGTCTCCCTAATGACAATTCCCACTGATGGAAAAGAACAATAAACAATAGTTGAGCCAACAAAGGTCCATTTGGTTCTAACCTCAAATCCTGCCTCTCTTCCAATACATAGGGTCTTTTGTCCTGGACACTGGATTATTTTTATATCTAATTTGGTGGTACTTTATCTGCTTGCTATCAACTGTCCCCCACTCCCAACTTGCTCCTTTGTCCAGGTGATCCTTGTGTTTTTTTTCTCCTAGAACTGGTCACTCCTTTATTGACTTCCAAGTTCCTCTGATCTCTTCTTTAGTTTCCCCAAAGTGGAAGTCACTAGCCTAATATTTCCACTTGTTTCTAATCTCTAAATTGCCTATATCTCATCTGACTAGATCCTGATCCCCTTTAAGGAAACTATAAACTGAATATCTGGGCTTTGAAAGGTTTGTTTTGCTATGCCATACAACAAAGTTCTTACTTCCCCAGGAATTTTTCTACAGAGCTCAATTCAGCTATAACAATTATGAAAGGACCTAAATAAATGTATAAACCTGAGCAGACACAGTAATTTGTAAATAAGCAGGAATCCACATATAAGCCATGAAACACTATCTTTAAAAAATTCAATTCTCATGGTCTGAGTGGTCCATTAATTAGAAACACATGGATCCTTTAGGTGACTCACTTCTCAAGGTGAGCCCCCCAAACTGAGTTTTGTATGTACTGATATCCCCACCCAATCCAAAGAAACCACCTTCTCTTTCTTAGATTAAAGTAAGACCAAAGGAGGCAATTAAACTATAACACACTGGAATGAATGCCTCATTTAACAGTCTCTCATTATAAGAAGCTCCTTACCATGGAAAAAAATTACAGATAACCCACAAAATGAAGACATTTCTAGACTTAGTTTAAGAAACAACTAAAAGTCTGATAGGCATTACTAAGAAAGAAAAAAATATTTTATAGTTACTTTGAAATACTTTTTATAAATAAAACTATGAGGATTTCATTTTAACCTATATAGTTTCAGCTCACAGTCATACCTATCTGGTTTTTAAATAGATAATCTTATAACCATATTTTCAAAGTTACAGTCTTTTGTTAAATATTCAAAAAAAGAACATGTATGACATAAGAATCAAAATGTTAGATTCTGGGTTATGTATATAGAATGTAGTTTCAAATGGTCTATGTGAATGAAAATAAAATTCAAGAATATGAAGGGTGAAGATGTCCAAATTGTAAAAAAAGATCTACCAACTGACTTCAAATTCCACTTCAGTATATTTTATCTTCCTAATTCAGCTACTATACCCAAAGCCAACTCTGTGGCCCCCTCTAGATACACTATTCTTCAGGTATGCATTTTATATATTAACCTCACTGTGGCTCCATTTCTTCTTCCTACCCATATTTCTGTCTTGATTTTATCATTTATCAAAATGATTTTTTAAAAGTATTTCCAGGGGCTTCCCTGGTGGCACAGTGGTTGAGAGTCCGTCTGCCGATGCAGGGGACACAGGTTCGTGCCCCGGTCTGGGAGGATCTCACATGCCACGGAGCGGCTGGGCCCGTGAGCCATGGCCGCTGAGCCTGCGCGTCCGGAGCCTGTGCTCCGCAACGGGAGAGGCCACAACAGTGAGAGGCCCGCGAACCGCAAAAAAAAAAAAAAAAAAAAAAAATGTATTTCCATAAGTTATCATAAAATATTTCTGGAACTAAGTTATTCAGTCTTATGTGGTCTGGACAGCCAAGGGCAAATAATGGATCCAAAAGCAATAAATGACTGGATATCCATTCACAGCATCTTCCCTAGGTATCATAAAATTTGCAGAGCCTACTGGAAACATCCAGAATGAATGAAACGGGACTGAAACTATAAAGACTATAATATAGCTAAATATTCTATATAGGTTATACTAGCTTAAAGATAACAGTCTTAACAGTATTACTAAAGAGTGACTATTGTTGGGAAGAAAAAGAGGCTTAGGTAGAACAAGATAAATAAAATCTCTGTCTTTATGAGAGCATTTTCTAATAAGAGAGAATAAGTCATAAATAAATGAATAAAAAATAAAATAATTACAAATTTTAATAAGTACTTTTCAGGAAATAAATAGGGCTATATAAAAGAAAAGAAAATTTTAGGGAGGATAGGAAAGGAAGATGAATCTAGCTAGGGTAGTTATCAAAGACCTCCCTTGGGTGACATTTGAGCTGAGAACCAAAAAAAAAAAAAAGGAAGAGCTTCTCAGGTACAGAGATCAGTAAGTACAAAGACTCAGAATCCAAAAGAAAGAGGCAGAAGAAAACTTGGCACATTCCAGGAACTGAAAGAAAACCAGTACAGCTGGAGCGTAATGATCATTAGCAAGTGAGAATGTGGTATGAAATGAGGCTAGAGACAGGCAAGGGCCCAGCCATATAGGTTCTTTTAGGTCCACAGTAAGGACTTTGAGTTTTTTCTCTTGTATTTATATTCATAAACGCAATTAGAAGGCTTTGAAGGGTTTTAGACAACAAAACTATATAATCTGATTTTACATTTTAAGATACTCATACTGGTTGCTGCATGGAGAATAAATTATAAGGGAACAAGAGTAAATGAAGAGAGATCAATTAGTGGACAACAAATGATGTAAGATGGAAAGATGTAGAACATATTTTAGATACAGAACAGAACTTCCTGATGGATTGGGTGTGGGACATGAAGGAAAGCAAGGAATCAGTAACTCACAGCCTATTAAAATAAGCACATGAGCAGTAGTTACAATTTACTAAGATATGAAATGACCAAGATGAAAGAGATTAGTGAGACGGGAAGGATAGGAGGATAAATTAAATTTCAGTTTGGACATGTTAAACCTAAGATGTCCAAAGATAACCAAAAAGAAGTCAAATAAGCAGTTGGACACAGGAGTCTATAACTCAGGGTAGAAAATCAGATTGTCAATATACATTTGGGAATCATCAACTTAGAGGAGATATTAAATGCTACGGGAATTGATGCAATTAACCAGGGATAGAGTGCATGTAGAGAAGAGAGCACAGACTAGGGGTTTTACTAAAATACAGAGAATTATAGAATAAGAAATATCAAAAATGGTTACTGAATACCAGCCAGAGTTGCTAATAAGAGTTAAGTAGGCAAAAGTGGTGTCATAGATGCCAAAAAAGGAAAGTGTTTCAAAAAAGAAGTGACAGGCTATGTTAAAAGCAACTGGGTTAAAAAATCTACTAAGTACGAACAAAGAAGTATACTTTAAAACAGGCAACATGGAAGTCACTGGTGACTTTGACAAAAAGGTTCAGTGGAAAAGGAGGTTAAAAGGCAGAGTGGAGTTGGTTGATAAATAAGTAGAAGATGGTAAGAAAATGGAGACAGTATATGTAAGCTATTCTTTTGAAGACTCTGATTATAAAAGGAGCAAAGACATGAGTCTGGAGGGGAATATGGGACAGTTAAGAGATATTTTTAAGACAGAAGATAATTATAGAGCATGTTTGAGGTGGAAAGGAAAAATTCAGTAGAAAAGGTAATAATAAAGACGCAGGAGAAGGAGCAAAGTCCTTGAGAAGCTGGAAAGAGGTGCACTGGCCAGCTTTTGTTAGGAGCAGATACACTTCTTCCCAAAATGGGACTGCTTCTGTCACAGACAATGTGAGTCTAGATGCTGGAAAGTTGGGAGATTCAAAAGAAGGAAAGTGAACGCTTTTTTTCCCCCACTGTGAATGAAAGAAGGTTATCAGCTAGGGGGTGGGATGAGGGTAAAGGGCGGTGCTAAAAGTTTGAGAGACTTGAAGGTGTGAAACAGACATTCTGTCTAGGTGCTGAGCAACAGTGTTGGAAGACTGCTTTAACGCGGAGCGCCCATGAAATCTGTGGTCGTGAATTTCTTCACTATCAGTGGCTCAGCTGCAGACTAAGAGAAGGCAAATAATTAGGTTCAGTCAGAGATGGAGTTTTGCCAGGCAAGTCTTCACATTCCCACTGTCCCTCTCCCTCAATCCGGTAAAAGTGACAGAGGAAATGCAAAGGACCTGAATGAAAGATACAAACATTTACATAAAGAGGTATACACAGCAAGGCAAGAAGTTTGTTTTCTCCATCTCTATGCAAGGCAATAATAGAAATCATGGTTCTAGGGTGATACTCCCACCTACATGGACAATTCCTACCATCCACAAACCCATCTGGACTTAGAAGCGAATAAAAGATTGAGAAAAAAAACAACACAAAACATAAAGAGCATTAAGTCCTTATTGTCAAAATGCTAAACTCTGGGATTATGAAAGGCCTATTGTCAAAACAATCACAGACATAATCTTTAGATGTTACATCTAATATCAAATCATCTTCCTCAACAGCAATACTGTCTTGGTAACATGGAAATATCCCAATTTTCCATAGTTTAGTCAGCCAAAATTCTTTCCATAACCTACCAGTTAAAAGTATCTCCTATGTTTCTTTGAAAAATGTATAGACAAAAGTGTCAAGTCATGTTCAATGTTGCTTGATCATCACAAAAATGTTGTTTTCTATTTCAATGATTCAATGAAATAAATAGTATTCAAGTATTTAATACTTACATCAAATATTAAAAAGGATTTAGTAATTTCAAATGTAGTATTAGAATGTGTTAAGTATCTAGGACAAAAAGGAAAAATGAAATTCCATACTAAGTAGTTTACTCAGAAATGTGTTTAAGAAACAATTGGAATCAGTTAAGATTCAGTGGAACGTGAACATGAGCTAGGGAATCTTCTTGCTAAGTTTTGACCAAACTTATAATTGATCAGAATCTTTAAGACTATTCCCAAGAATGCTATCACTTTAAAAAGTCTTGTTTTTACCAATGTTACCTGTTTTGAAAAGCAAACTTTTAAAGAATTCTGTCCAGACTTCCTTAACCCTCCAAAATATTTTATTTTCCCATAACTTGAAATGCTGTATCAATTAGAATGTGGAAAATCTAATTTCATAGCTCATCTTTAGGTTATTATTATAGGTAAATTGTACACAAGTGTTATTTAACAGCCACATAATTGAGTCTGGCTTCTATTCCCAGAAACTGAAAATGAATTACCAAAAATGGGATATACTGATAGAAGAGTGCTTAATTTAAAACACCCCATATTTGGTGATCTGGCATCAGATTTCAGAGAAGCAAGAATAAAGTGACAGTTTGGCAGTTAAGCTGTTAGGAATTTTTTTTATAGGCTTTAGCTGAGGCCTGCCAGATGTATCTTTAGTTGCTAATATTTTTGATTATATATCGAGGAATATACTTCCTTAGAAAAACTCAAAGAAAAATATGAATGAACATCTTGTTGGTTATTATAATTACATGTATATATTTAAAATGTCAAGTAAACTACAGACATATCTGCTAAAGATTACTATGTAAACACTAGCATATTCCATAGCTGGGGGTGGGGTGGGGTGTTTGAACATGAGGAGTTGTAATATTGAGAGGAAAACACAATTTTAACAGAATTTAGAAGTTGATTTTTTTCACTAACATCAAATACCAAGAAGACAAGGATTTGTTAAAATAATTTTTTCACGTAAATACAGGAGAAGTAATTCTTTTGGTAAATTGTATACATTGTTGACAAGAGACCATGTAAAATTCATCATAAAGAATGTATTAAAAGTATGTCATGATTTGAGGAAAAATAATAAAAAAGAACATAAATACAATGGATCTAATAATAATCAGGGCTATATTTTCACTATCACTTTAACACAGACAACCAAAAAAGCTTAAGAAAGATATTTTGGTCTATAAAAATAATTGTTAAGTCAAGTGCATTAAACTATGTCAAAGCACTATCTGCTGGTACTTACATTTTTTAAAGAACTGTCTTGTGTAAACTGAAGATTCCCGCTATTTGTTAAAATTCATGCAAGTGAGGCATACTTGAATTTTGTTTTTAAGTTACACATTCACATATTACATGTCACTCTGATCATTTATTCCAGCAAGAATAAGTTGATGTGATTTAGTATCTTTCAAAATAGCCCCAAAAGAAGTTTTCATTATCAGAAATCATCAGATGAACCACAGCCTATTTAAAGAGTAACATCCTCACCAGACTGATGATGTGTATGGTGTCCAGATGCCTCAACAGACTGCCTTTGTTCACTGACTGGAGAAGACAGCAAAGAAGTAGAATGAGGGCTTTCTGTAGAAGATGATGCTGAATGAGCCTGAGCTGACATCGCAGAGGATGTAGAAGGTTGAAGAAACTGTTCAGCTGGAGTGTCTACTTCCATAGCAGTTTCATTTTCACCCACTTCCAAATCAGTACTTGATGGGACCGTAGGAAGAGTTGAAACATCTGACTGACTAGTTCCACCTTCAAAAAACACATCATAATACAAATTCAAATACTAAATGCTTTCCAAAACTAACTACTCTAGAGATATGTTCAAGAAATATGTGCGCACATGCGCGTGCACACACACACACAGACACACACACACACACACAAACAGATAATTTCAGGATATCAAAAGCACCCACCAGGCTAATTAATAGGGGTAAAAAATCTACCTATGGCACATTCTTGTTGTAGTAATCAACCTTTCAAGCAAAATGCTCAGTATGGTAGCTTGACTTACACAAAGCTAAATACCAGCTTGAAAGATTCCTATTAATAATGTCTAGTTCCTTAAGTTTGAAGATGATGATTCTGATTTAATAGCTGGATAATAGGATAATGGACTTATATTAATATATTTCTACTCTAAAACATAATGTCCTTGGTAAAATATTTAATAAAAAAATTTTATTAACAAGAGTAAAGCTACAAATAGGTCATAACAAGATTAAGTTCCTGATTCCCATTTCATTAGCAGTAACGTTTTAACCACTAAAATAACATGATGCAGTCATGATTTTAAAAGGCTTGAATGTCTACTGTGTGTTGTGCTAGGCCTTGTGCTATCTGCAAAGGAATAATTAAGAATACTCAATAAACATTAAAAATTTCCTTGATTTTGCTTCAAATCTATATTATTAAAAGAAAGATAGAATGAACTAATCAAGTTCATGTCTTGCAAGATCCAACTACTACAGAATATAAAAATTTTTCTGTTAATCATCTTGATTTAAATATTTCCTAAATTTAAGCACAAATGTAATAACTCTTAAGCAAATCCATAGTCTAAGAAATTTTTTTAAGTTTGTATGCAGAATTTAACAAGAACCATTTATGGATGAAATTCAATAGCATTTTTCATTTTGGGACTTAAAACAGTTAGGAGTTAACTTTCACACTCCTGATTTTGGACAGAGATAAGTAACTTGCTAAAGACCACAAAGCTGGAAAGTAGTGAACCAAAATATGAAAACAGGTCAGCTAACACCAGACACAGCAATTGACAGCCATTGTATATAAGTAACCAAAAGAAGAAACTACTTAATTATATAAAACTTATCTAAAGAGTTTTTATCTGTATCCCTTCTCAGAGCACATACAAAAGTATTTACAGTAGGGGATATCAGACTCTCTTACTTTTTTTGAGAAAAGCAAAAAATGAAGGCTAGGTCTAGAGGAGAAAATTATACCAAATACCCTTTGTTCTCTACTGCTCCACACAATACAATAAGAACCTTATGATTACTAAAGATATAAAATATGGTATACATTGGATGATATAAATAAAACTGACTTCAATAAATAGTTTTTGCAGGTTTTCTGGTAACTTTAACTAATAACAAAAATTACCTCTGGGTCGAGATCTTCCTCGTCCTCTATTGCTTTGTGCGACTTCGCTTGCTTCTTCAAACCACCTTGATAACATGTCAGACATTCTCTGCATCAATGACACGTTGGGACTTTGCTCCCCTATGACAACACAGGTCTTATCAGTGAATTTAGGAATAGGTCAGGATCTTTCATTAATGCAAAAACCTTGATTTGAAGGCTTTAAAATGAAAGCAATTTTAAAAACCCAAATTGCCTAAATAAATTATATGACTGTATATATAAACCTATTAGGGCTATCCTCACATTTTATAGTAAATGTTTATATGAATGACTCTCCAACTCTATTTTGAGTTCCTCAAGAACAGGACTTACATCTCCTACATGTTTGCCAATTCTTAGGTACTTCCACACTACCACCCCTACCCCAACCCACATCTTTAGTTCTAAGAGCAGACAGCTAGGAAGGGCTCATGAATTCTAAGTTGAACAGATTGAAAGAAAAGTTTGACCTCTCACTTAAATTTCCTTAAACTGAAGGTTTGCCCTCTCACTTAAATTTCCCTAAACTGAATTTATTTTTATCATCATTTACTGCAAATTCCACATAACTGAAATTAACAGAAACCAGAAAATTTTTTATTTATCTCTTTCCTCCCGCCTTGTCTCCCCTCAAATATATGAGTATTTTCTTAAGGACATTTTCAAATTAAGTATCACATCAAATTGAAACTGTGACAATTCTATTTTACAATCATATAATTTAAAATGGAAATCATTTGTTTTTGAATTTTCTGTGAAAACAGATTTTATGCTTTATTACCTTTATATAATGTAGCTTTATATTTTAAAATATATTAAATAATACCAACAATAATATATTGGGAAATATGCTTTTGATCTTAAAAGATTTCAGAAATCATTAGAATAAGATTTTTGCTATAGATCCGTTTATTAAAATCACACACATTACTTCTATTTTAAATGTGCCGTCTTAAGAGACTTCCCTGGTAGCACAGTGGATAAGACTCTGCACTCTCAATGTAGGGGGCCCGGGTTCAATCCCTGGTCAGGGAACTAGATCCCACACGCATGCCACAATTAAGAGTTCACATGCCACAATTAAGAGTTAGCATGCCACAACTAAGGAGCCTGCCTGCTGCAACTAAGACCCAGTGCAACCAAATAAATAAATTATATATATATATATATTTTTTTTAATTCTGTAAAAAAAAAGTGTGCCATCTTAACACTCCCAAAATAGTAGTTTCTTATGCTTATCAAAGGCATCTGATAGGAGGAAAAAACAATTTTTTAATGTGCTCTTATAAAACTCTCAGATTGGAAACTGGGAGTTTTCATTGCTCTTTATATCAAATACAAAGGCAAAAATTACTATGTTTGATAATACCCAATGTTTTTGTGGCAAAAGACATTCTTACACTTTCAGTGGGAATACAAAAGAGTGCATACTTTTCAGAGGGTAATTTGATAACTATCAAAATTAAAATGTAATTATCCAGTGACCCACACATTCTACTTTTAGGAATTTATCCTAAGATACACTTGCACAAGTATGGTAAGATATGTATGAAGATGTTTGTTACAGCATCACTTGTAATAGTGAAAAAAATGGAAACAAGTTAAAATATTAATTTTTAAATACCATATTTTTTAAAAGCTGACCAAAGTATAGTTACCATCTCTTTCTCGTTCACTTTCAGGCCTTGCTCGGGGTCCAGTATCTGACCAATCACCACGAAGTCTCAAACGCTTAACTGGAGGCTGTCGTAACTAAAAGATGAGGAGAGAACTCTCTTGCTCAATTCTTAAAGCACACTGTAAGTCTAATAGATTCTTTCCATCTTCTTACTTCCTTTATTGAGATGCTAATCAAACTATGAAAGATAGCCATAAATATCCACTGATGTTGACAGCCTGTACTTATTATCTTCAGCCTAAAGTTTGAATGCAACTTTAAAATCATGTAAATGTGATATCGAATTCTACCTGTATCACTTTCCAACTGACAAGAGGAAAGTTATCTAACTATATTGAGCCTAAGTTTTCTATTATTATGATAAATATAGTCTAGGTAAAGTACCTAAATACCTAACTGGCAATAGAAGTAATCATTATTTTATTATTATTATTGACAATTTGCTCTCTGGTTCTCCCCCAGTACCTATTCCAACCCTGCATTACTCACCTCAGTGTCTCTACTCTACCTTGTTGCTCTCATTCTCAACTATTAACTTTTCCTCCTACTTCAGAGAAAATAAAGTCACTTCTATAGAAATGACATAAATTTCCTCAGCTGCATTCTACAACTTACCTATATCTACTTCTTAATTCCTTGCAATCTTTCTCAGGACATGGATCACTTGTTTTGTTTAAGCTTAATCTCTATCTGTGCTTTTTATTTCATTCCTTGAACAATTATTCTCTCTATATCTACATTCATCTCTTCTCTCTTGGTTCTTCCTCACAATATGCTAAAGGTTCTTATCATTTTTAATAAACAGAACACCTCAATTTCAAATTTCTATCCAGCTACACTCTTTTCTCATGCTTTCTGAAGCTTTACTGTCAAGCCTCTTTTAAAAAGTCTATATTCAGGGTGGGGGGGATCAACTGGGAGACTGGGATTCACATATATACACTAATATGTATAAAGTAGATAACTAATGAGAACCTGCTCTATAGCACACAGAACTCTACTTCACTGTACAGTAGAAACTAACACAACATTGTAAAACAACTATATCCCAATTTTTAAAAGTAAGTCTATATTCGTTCTATTTTTATCTACCACTCCTCTCTCAATTCATTGAAGTCAATCTTATGTTCCCATTTTTCCACTGAATTCATTCTCACCAATATCACCAGTGAATGATCAACGACTAAGTTCACTGATCAATGATAAAATGATTAAAACTCAATTTCCAATTCAAATGGCACCTTTCAGAGATTATTTTATTTGGTGTCTATGGCATCTGACACTCTTAATCACTCCCTTTAACCGTTACATTTTAACATCTTTTTATTGAGATATAATTCACATACCATAATATTTACCCTTTTAAAGTAGACAAATCAGTGGTGTATATTCACAAAGCTATGCAACTACTTGTATCACACTAATCCAGAACATTTTCATCACCTTAAAGAGAAACCCTATAGCTAACAGCAATCATTCCCCACTTCTCCCTCTACTCAGCTCCTGGCAACTACGAATCTACTTTCTGTCTCTATGGATATGCTTATTCTGGACACTTCATATAAATGTAATAACATAATATGTGGCCTTTTGTGTATGACTTCTTTCACTTAGCTTAATATTTTTCAAGGTTCATCCACGTTGCAGCATATATCAGTATTTCATTGCTTTTTATGGCTCAATAATATTCCACTTTTTGAATACACCACATTTTGTATATTCATTCACCAGCTGATGAACATTGAGTTCTTTCCACTTTTTGGCTACTGTGACTAATGCTGCTATGAACATATGGGCAAGTTTTTACGGGGACATGTTTTCAATTTTCTTGGGTATATATCTAGGAGTGGAATTGCCAAATCATATGATAACTTCTATATTTAACTTTTGAGGAACTGACAAACTGTTTTACAATGCACCTGCACCATTTTATACTCCTACCAGCAATGTGTGAGGGCTCCAATTTCTCCACATTTTCATCAACAATTGTCACTGACTTTTTTATTTTAACCAACCTAGTAAGTGTGAAGTGGTGCCTCACTGTGGTTTTGATCAGTGATGTTGAACATCTCTTTATGTGCTTAATGGTCATTTGTATACCTTCTTTGGAGAAATGTCTATTCAAATCCTTTACCAATTTTTTAATTAGGATACTTGTCTTTTCATTGTTGAGTAGTAAGTGTTCTTTATATAACATATTCTGGATACTGGATTCTAAATCATAAACCAGATATATGATTTGCAAACATTTTCTCCCACCCTGTGGGTCACTCCCTTTTATTTTTTTCTAACATAACATTCATTGATTTTTTTTTTTCTTTCACAATTAAGCAGGTTTTAATAGAAATCTGGTGACAGCTTAGCTGTAAATTTTCTATTTTCTCCTGGAAACCATACCAAGCAACAAGGAGAATGGGAAAAAAAAGTCTCCATCCTCAGCAAAGGAAACAGAAAAAAAAAAAAAAGAACCCACAAGTTCCATGTTATGTGTAAGTATGGTTAAAAGCAACTGAGAATAACAAAATCTGCAGAGGAAGTCACAAGTGTGACAAAGAATAATCATTAGATTAGAGGATGCCTAGTGTGGCAGTTATCTAAAATCTCAGACAAATAATCATTTCCAGAAAGAGAGAGCCTCACCCTGTATATAAATTGTACTTAGAATTAAGAGCTCTGTTCCATGGTTAGAAGAGAGAAATTTTTATATTATACAGGCAATGAACTGATGTTATAATCTATTATATCTATTATGATCTATAATCAGCAACTATTTATGGAACAAGATCTTCAAGTTAAAAACAGTCCTAAGTTTGATTTTTTGATATATGCGAAATAACCTACTCAAGAATCCTGAAAATCATACAACATTCATTCAATCAGTCATTCAATAAAAAATTTTTTAGCACCTTTCATGTGTCAGGTACTACTCTAGGTATTGGGGAAAGATCAATGTATAAAACATACAAAAATTCCCAATGTCACAGAGTTTATAGAATACATGAAATTAAAAAGTAAAATATACAGAGAAAGTGGTAAGTGTTACAGAAAAAAATAAAGTATCAATAGAAAAGGGTGATAGGTAGTACCAGATAATTAAGGGTTACAATTTTAAATAATGTGGTAAGGTAGGATCTAACAGAGAAGGGAACATAGGAAAAGCCCTATAAGAAGTAAAGGAAGAAGAAATCCAGATATCTAGAGGAGATCATTTCAGGCAAAATAAATGCAAAAGCCATAAGGTAGCTTAGCCTGTCTGAGTAAACAAGTAAGTAGATGTAGGTAGAGCAGAGTAAACAAAGGAGAGAGCAGTAGAAGTAACAAGAACCAGATGATCTAAGATCTTGAAGCCACTGTAAGGACCTCAGTTTTGTTCTGAGTGAGGTGGGGAGCCATTTGGAGTGTGGATCAGAACAGTGGCGTGATTTGACTTATGTTTTAAAGGATTACTTTGACTACCGTGTAGCTAAGTAAAGGACTGGAGGGGGTGGGTATGAAAGCAGGGACCTGGTAAGAAAGCTACCATAATAATCTAGGAGGAGAGATGCTGATGACTCGGATTAGAGTATTAATAGTAGAGTGGGAAGCAGTACTACAGACTTTGGATACAGGTTTCCCCTACTATCTGAAAGCAGAATGTTCCTATGAAAACTTTCATACGTCGAAATGGAGTAAAATGAAGAAGCAATTACCTTAGGACACATCTTGCTAATGGATGCACAGAATAAATTGAGATAAAGCACAGATGCTCACAGACACAATTCAATGCTACGACAGCTTGAGGCTGAGACAGAGACACAATTCAAAGCTACGGCAGCTTGACGCTGAGATAAGACACAATTCAATGCTATGGCAGGTTGATGCTGAGATGCCGAGTATATTTCACTGGGAAGGAGCTTGGTGATGCCACTTGCTGCTCAGGGTGCACACTGCAAACAAACGCCAAATGCCATTTTCGCTTTTCACCTTTTTTCTGTAAAAGCAAAAATCCTCTTTGGATTTTTTAGTTAGTGAAAGCAGGTACTAAGCAGGTCTTTAGTAAAAGCAAAGTGATATAGAAGCAAACATTCAAAAAGCAGGGGATACATGCAATACTTTTAGGGATAAGTTATGGGGACCAGGAGAAAATGAGAGATTGGCTTCAACAAAGCAGTCCAATAATGTGCTAGGTAGGTGGGGGAAATGTCAAAAAGATATGAGAGAAAAACGAAAAGAAAGAAAAGACAATAAAAAGGAAAAAGGAATACCAAAATAAAGGAAAATGAGAAGTGGAAAAAATTTGAATAAGACAAAAGAATATGCTAAATAAAGAAGGGGAACAGAAATTCCCTGGCAGTCCAGTGGTTAGGACTCTGAGCTTTCACTGCCAGGGGCCTGGGTTCAGTCCCTGGTTGCGGAACTAAGAGCCAGCAAGCCAAGAGGCGTGGCCAAAACAAAAAGGGGCGGGGGGTGAAAGACAAATTATTAGAGGACAAAGGAAATAATATAGGAAATAAAAAGAGACCCCTACAAGTTAAGAAAATATAAAAATATGAAAACATAAGAAAAAAATCATATATTAAACTTTTATTCATACTTTAAAACCCTGCTCAAGTGTTTCTTACATTCCCAATCAAAAACAATTATTCCTTCTTTTGGTCTACTTATATAGAACATAATTCTTACATACAATTCTATTATTTTAAGTTTCACACATTTATTTATAAACTTTATTCCTTTATAAATTTATTTATTTATTTGTAAACTCCTGAATGAGAGATCATGTCTTTGTTACAGTCATCCTTGATTTTCTAAAGTTTAGTATAGTATGTAGTATAGTAGCCACCCAGTAAATATTTGGTGAGCTGAGATGAGTTTGTCTGAACATTACTGTCAAGGATTTAGCATAAAACACTAAAAGAAAAGATGGCGAGATTAAGAGGAGGACAGGTTATTAATTTCTTTTTCTACATAGACCTGTGAATTATTTCATTTATTACAATAAGCATAATTTATTTTTTTAATTTTAATTCATTTTAAGAATTATTTTTCTTAATTTAGTTAATTCAACAAAGAATACTGAGAAAAACATGTTCAAAAAACCAACTGTTCATAATTAAGCCTCTTTCACTCATTATATAAACATCTTTAGGCTAAGTATTCTATGGGATAAAAAAGCTAGTTGGCTCACTTAAAATGTTTCTGTATTTCCAACTCTTTCATTCTGTAACAGTCACAAAGTATGACTGTAACTTTACTGAAGCGCATTATCTCAAGAGGAAATTACATAGCAACAACAAAATGACAGAGCAGATTTCACATTTTCAATCAGACCAATAAACTCAAAAATTGTTTCATTAGCCATCATACCCTCTTCTTCACCAATTTCCTAATTCACTTAAACACAGTGCCAAATTTAAAATCCCAAAAACACATTTATAAAGTAATCTTGATTTTTTTCTAATTTTATAGCCCTCTCAACCTGCAACTATAAGAACTGGATTTGGTTTTGCATCTCATAGGAATTACAAAATTGTTATTGTTCTTTAGTACCTTTAAAATGTATTCATTAAGAAGAGTTGGACCAATACCTAAAAGTCACTGATAATTAATAAAAAGCAATGGTTAATTTCAAAAGACATTTATAATCCAAAGAATAGAGTGATTAAACACAGGACACTGCAGGGACCTCCCTGGTGGCGCAGTGGATAAGACTCTGCACTCCCAATGCAGGGGGCCCGGGTTTGATCCCTGGTCAACTAGATCTTACATGCATGCTGCAACTAAGAGTTCGCATGCCACAACTAAGGAGCCTGTGTGCCTCAACTAAGGAGCCCGCAAGCCGCAACTAAGGAGCCCACGTGCCGCAATTAAGGAGACCTGGAGGTGCAACTAAGAGCCGGTGCAACCAAATTAAAAAAAACAAAAACAACCATAGGACATTGTAAAATAAAAAAGCCAAAGTGAAAAACGTGGGGAAAGAACCTTAACAAGGTTAAAGCAAACATTTTTCTACTGCTGTGTACTGTCAAGGGTATACTATTTCTGGTTATTGCTTTTCATAAGTAAGAAAAATGATTTAGTATTTTAGAGTCATTTTAGGAAAAGTAGTTCTTTCACCTAGGTTCCAATACATAATATATATCATATTTATATCTAGAAATTGATAAAGAGGGTATCTACAGATATAGATATATAGATATAATGTAATGTATAAACTTCTAAAAGACTAAATGTTTATATTCATGCACCAATAGGAGTTTTACCTATTACCATTCACTATTTATATGAGGACAGCAATCCCCTCCTCTCCCGATTCTGTGTATGTGTTGTGTTGTGTGTGTATGTTCAGACACTTTAACTTACCTTTTTCTCACTCACTCATACGGGTCATTGTTTTACAAAATGTACCTAGAGATAATATTACATGTCACTAATTCATAACTGTGAAAGAGGCAGAATCAGGAGAAGACAGGAAGGACTGCTATCAACGTATGAATAGTAAACATTGTTGCATGAATATAAACATTTAGTCTCTTGGAAGTTTATACATCACATTTATTTATTATTTTAATTGCCTCTTCTGCAACTGTCAGAACTGTTCATCTTTCTTGCCTGCTGCTGTGCCTCCATAAACTTGGAAAAACATTTTGCTATTAAATATTTTCTCTTTAAAAATACTTTCGCCTAGCACCTTATCCTTATTTATTACTCCCATTCTTTCATGCGTATTTTCATGTCTTTGCTCCTTAGACTGTAAATGCCGTGAAAATTAACTCTATTTTTTGAAGTCCTTCAGGCCCTAGGAGTTACTGAATTAATGCTCCAGGAGTTAGTGAGTTAATGTTTTCTGAATTCAATAAAGAACATGGTTTTGAGTAAACTTACCTCTTCTCTTCTCTCTTCTGCAGAAGGAGTTTTAAGTTCTCGTGCAGTATCATCTTTTGGGTCAAAAAGATATATGTAATCTGAAGAGTAACTAACAAGAATCTCTTGACCATCTTCACTGTAACACAGAGATGTCACCCTGCAGGACTTGTTATTAAGATGGGAAGGGATAAAACGGGCAACCATTCCAGTAGTTCCTCGACCTGCATAATTCCCTAAATAAGAAAAAAGGAATTGTTTAAAATTCAGAATATTTTTCAAGAAAAACACTTGAAAGACTCTTAATCTGAATTATGAGATATGTGATTTAACGTAGCAATATAAATCCAAGCTATCATATTCCATTTCTGGAAAAGACTCTTTAATCATCAGTCAAATTTTGTAACAAAATAAAAATGAATATAGTATAAAGGTTACATATCTTCCAAAAAGAATTCATGATTTTCTAGAATTCCAGATTACATCAATGTTTTATTGGAAATATGAGTTATTTAATCAATTTTATATTGTGATTACAGTCACACTAAATCATCTCTTAAAAATTCCCCACATTAAGATAATATAATTTTATAATATAAATCGGAAAGCTGATATTTACTAGCATACTAGATAAAACAGTACAGTATATTTTTAATATGATTTACCTTTTACTTTATGTCATTAAAAGGTTTTTGATTGCCATGAAATTCTCCTCTTATAAGATAACAGAGTGGGAATACCACTCTAATTTTAATTAATTTTGGTGGTCGTCAACATAATGCAATACGATAGGGAGAGGTACGACTGGCACTTTGTGCTCTGCAGACCCAGGAATGCTAAATTCTAAGAATCCCACAAAGCTGTATTATCCTGCCCTGCCCAAAATTTCAATCATGTCCCATCTGTTGAGAAATGATAACTGAGCCTACAGTTCCATATATTACTACTGTTCCCCCTAAACATGCATGTCCAAATAGACAAGACTCCTCAATCACAGTTCAAGAAAAGAAAAAAGATCCCATCTGGTTTTCCCATTTCAGTAATCTAGGTCCATTTTCACTGGACATAAACTGACATTGAGATCAACATTGTTAATTTCTGGCCCAAATCAACTTTTATTTTTGATGCCATAAAATATGTGAATATATATATAAATGTGTACATATGTATGTATATTTGGGGGGTGTGTGTGTGTGTGTGTGTGTGTGTGTGTGTGTGTGTGTGTGTGAGAGAGAGACAGAGAGACAGAGAGACAGAGAGACAGAGAGAGAGAGAGAGAGAGAGAGAGAGAGAGAGAATGTGCAATCTTGACCTTCCTTGATAGAAAATGCTAATGGAAGTTAGCTTTGAGGTGAATATTTCAGAAGTGATTTGATCCCAAAGCAGATGAGGAACAAATAGGAGTTTAAGGCAAATTCAAATTCAGTACTGCAGCATCATTTACAGTACTTTAGCTAGGCTACTAAGTAGGTATAAATATGTTATATATTAATACACACCCAAGTCACTGTTCTTTCCTAACTTTTCTCTCCACCACGCTTACTATTATCCCCTTGATTGAAAAGATGGCAAAGAGAAATTAGGAAAGCCAAGTGTTATGAGCTGAAGAGTGTCCCCTGAAAATTCATGTCCAACAAGAAACAGAACGTGACCTCATTTAGAAATAGGGTCTTTGCAGATGTAATTATCAAGATGAGGTCATACTGGATTATGGTGACCCTTAAATACAATGTAACTAGTTTTCTTATAAGAAGAGGGAAATGCAGGCACAGATACACAGGAGAGAATAGCATGTAAATATGGAAGCAGAGATTGGACTGATACATTTAAAAGCCAAGGGATGCTCAGGATTGTCAGCAACCTCCAGAATCTAGGAGAGAAGCAGGCAATAGATTCTCCATGAGAGCCTCCGGCAGAAAACCACCCTGCAACATCTTGATTTTAGACATTTAGCCTCCAGAAATGTCAGAGAATACATTTCTGTTATTTTAAGCCACCCAGTTTAGAGTAATTTGTTATGATAGACCCAGGAAATTAATATATCAAGTGTTACAACTTTTTAAAGTGATAAACTGCAAAAGTATCACACTGATGGGTCATAAAAACTTGGTGAAATGCTATTTTTTATAATAATCCATAGTATTTAAATACATTCTATTTACTAAATTTTACGTGAAACTAATGAAATTTTTAAATTGCAATACATCATAAAGATTTATCCTTTGGGGACTTCCCTGGTAGTGCAGTGGTTAAGAATCCGCCTGCCAATGCAGGGGACATGGGTTCGAGCCCTGGTCTGGGAAGATCCCACGTGCCGCGGAGCAACTAAGCCCATGCGCCACAACTACTGAGCCTGCGCTCTAGAGCCCGAAAGCCACAACTACTGAAGCCCACACACCTAGAGCCTGTGCTCCGCAACAAGAGGAGCCACCGCAATGAGAAGCCCACGCACCACAATGAAGAGTAGACCCCGCTCACCGCAACTAGAGAAAGCCTGCATGTAGCAATGAAGACCCAATGCAGCCAAAACTAAACAAATTTATACTTAAAAAAAGATTTATCCTTTGAACTGATAGGATCTCATATTTTCTCCAATATATGTCTTTTTACCTGTAGCTCTTGTACCCAGCATTCGCCGATCATATATTCGTACTGAGCTATCAGAACAACCAACAGCAAGGTAATATGGTATTGGTGGACAAATAGCTACAGATGTGGCAGCACGTCGGCAGTTAATTAAAATATCCTACAAAAGATAAAAAAATACCAGTTACATAAGCTTTACAACAGATAATAGTCTATTTAAAACATTTTCCCTTCAATTAGAACAAGAAAATCTTTTTCAGAAATCCTAATTCAGTCAGTATGACAATGAGGGAGGAAAAAAACCAACATGCCTCCTAAATATTCTCATACTCAGGAATAAAATGATCATCTTTAGAAATATTCAAAAACTCATACATTACCTATGTAATATGTCATTAAGTCATTAATGTCATTAGAAATGCCTGCGATCATTGGTCCACTGGACAGTAAACATGGAGGTATAATCAACCTTTGTCTATCATAAGTATAATCATTTTATACGGTACTCATGATATTTTAATTTTAATTACTGCTATTAAAATATAACAAAAATACCATAACCTGATATTAAAATTTTATATTTTTAACTTATAAAATCTGCCTCCTTACCCGTTCAAAAACAAAGTACATACATACATATAAAATTGAAGCCATGTCAAAGACAGGCTTCACTATAATGTCACTACTTATCTCTATACAAGCATTAGAAAATATAAGAGTTATCACTCCAAAGATATAGCTTTAAGGTACTGTTAATTCTATACTATTTTGTCTACAACTCTAACTCCTCACTCTTCTCAGAATAGCTGAGTTTGTAAGTTACATTTATGCTAAGTTTTATGTATTTAATTATGGGCCTCAGAACATTATTCCTATTACATAGAATTTATTCACCAAATACTGCTCATAATTCTAAATTTTTAGGAATTAAGAATTACCCTAGTTACCAATTTTCTTTATACTCTTTCTATTCCTTTTTACATATAAAGAAATCAAAAGTTTTACTGAGAAAAAATTTAACAATATTTCACTTATTAGCTTTGCTTTATTCTTTAGTTTTACAGAGTTTTTGATTATAAAAGCAAAATTAAATCCAACTACATTGTATATGAAACTACTGCTTAAAAGATTTTGACATAACAAATTTTAGGACCTATTATTTACTAAGAAACAGGTAAACCAAATGCCCCTAATAAACAACCTGCTATTTTAAACTTATTTCTGCCTTCAGTTCAACGTTCCTAATTGTGTATGTGTATACATGTATACAATATAAAAACTGACAAAATTTTTTTATTTCTGTTTTTTTTCTTCTCTGTTTCAATGTATAAAATAATCTTTTCTCCACCTAAAGTATGTTAACAATAGTAACTGGTTTAATTAGCAAACACTCAACCTGATTACTAGTAACTTTTTTTTTTGTAACTATCAGTAAAAATGTATTTAGCAGTACTTGCTTACTTCATTTACTACTCTAAAATGATCTGAGACAAAAGCTACTGTCTCTAAATAACATTTAGGGTTAGTTGTCTGGGGCCTTACACTGACTGATTTCTCAGGTCTTTTTCAAGTTTAAAATACTATTTTAAAAAATACAAAATTGATAGTGAAGCTCTATCTTTAGAGAAGTGAGCTAAATCTGAATGAACATGTTGATAAAATGGGATCTAACTGTCTAAAACAAAAGATAGCATATAAATAAATCTTGGTTTAAAGGACAGGGTAAAAATAAAAAGACACTGAACTTCTACATGCTTTTATCACTGCTATTGGTAAGCCAAAATTGCCTCCATAAATAAATGGAATATACTGATAAATACTTCAAGTTTTTATAATGCTATGGTATATACTGAAAAATTATATAAATTTTTATAAATATATTTGAACTGTACAATTTAAGTATAAGTTCCTTAACTTTACTATTAACATTTTAATTAAGATTTTTTTTGATTATGAAAATATACTTATTGAAAATTTTATAAAATAAAAAATTCTTAATTTATCCGTAAGCTCATAACAGAGTTAACTCACTACCCAATTTTAAGTATAATCTTAATTTTTTCATCATTTGTACAAAAACTTGATTCTTACATCTTTGCAATCTTCTTTTGTGCAGCTAGTTTTGATGCGTGTATCAAACCACCTAACAGTTCCATCTTCACCACAAGAGAGAAAAGTATACGGGTCATTAGGTACAGTCATAATCTGAAGATGAAAACAAAAGTACAGGTAATGTTTGTGAACATTTAAGCAGATGACTTTGAAAAACATTACTGCTATATCATAAAATGATTATGGCAAAAGCAACTAAGAACCATTTATTTTAATTATTTATGACTTACCCGTATCATAATGCAAAATAGTGCTCTACATATAGAAATATGCAAGAGGTAACTGTTGAATTAATGTGACTCATTACTTTGAAGTTTGACATTAATGTACCTTCAGACAGAAAGCTCTTTACATTATAAACTCCTAACAACTTGACAAGAAAAATCCTACCCTTGGAAGCTTGTTCAAACTTTGAATAGCCAAATTTTTGTTTTCTGGATGTGAATTTACACTTGTATTAGAAATACACTGTAAAATTTTACTCTCTGATAATGTTTATAAAAACTATGTGATGCTGAATTAAGCATTTAAACTGACCTCTCAAAAATTTTTTGAGTGATGGTAATGGTTCTATAACAATGTAGAAGTACTAAATGTCACGAACAGTACAGTTAAAAATGGTTTGAATGGCAAATGTTATATTGTGCATATTTTACAAAAATTAAATTTTGTAAAGAAATGAAACATTTTAGATATTCCTGTATCCACTTCTGGTTTAGCAATAATACTGTAAGTTGAGGCCCTCTGTGAACCCTCCTGTCCAACAAATTCCTCCCCTTCTCTGTCCTTAGAAGTAGAAACTGCCAAAATTGGGTATTTAGCATTCTCACAAAGGTTTTTATGTACCCATAAACAATGGAAGGTATATTCCTATGTATACATGAAAAGGTGCTCAGATTCATTAGTGATCAACTAAACACAAATTATAATCCTAAGTAAATATCACTACACATCACCAGAATGACCAAAATGAAAGGGACTAGATTAATATCAAATGTCAATGAGGACATGGAGCAACTAGGGCTTTCACACGTCATTGATGGGGCTGTAAAACAGTACCATCACTTTGAAAAACCATGTGTCAGTATCTACTAAAGCTGGTCATATGCCTCTCCCATGACCCAGCAATTCCACTACAAATAAATGTATGCATAAAGGCACCTAAAGATGTGTACCAGAAAGTTCATAGCAGCATGATTCATATTAGCTAAATACTTGAAACAACCCAAATGGCCAGTAAGAGAATAAGAACATAAATTGTGATTTACTCTTAAAATACTAAAGCAATAAAAATAAAGAAATACATTGCTCTCAAATTATGTAAAACCAGTGATTAAAAATAAGATTTCTTGCCAGAAATCAGTGGAGTAACATCTTTAAAGTAGTAAAAGAAAAAAAAAAACTGTCAAACTAGAATTCTATACCCACAGAAATATCTTTCTAAAACAAAAATAAACTAGACTTTTTCAGAAATAAGAAAGCTGAAAGATTATTCAGTAGCATAGAAGCCAGTAAAGGATGCCTCTTACCTAACTATGACCCATTATTTTTGTAAATAAGAGTTTGAATGAAACTCAGCCACATCCAATCATTTACATATTATCCAAGTCTGCTTTCCTGACACAATGGCATATTTGAGTAGTTGTGACAAAGATTATATGGCACACAAAGCCTAAAATATTTACTATTTGGTATTTTACAGGATAATTTTCCAAACCTCTACAATAACAGACAAGCACAATATAAATACATCTTCTAAAATCCTTCTTGTAAAAGGAAAATAATACCTGTCATAATCTGGATCTATGCAAAGGAATTTAAGATTAGAAATAATAAATATGTAAGTAAACATAATATAATTTTTACTTTGTTTTAAAATCTTTTTAAAGATAATGGACTATTAAAGGAAGACTATTAACAATGTATTAAGGAAATTATGAAACATATAAGAATAAAATGTAAGAAAAAAATATCCAAAATTCCAGGAGAAGAAAACTGAAAGTACAGTATTATAAGATTCTTATACTATATTTGAAGTGGTACCATATTACTTGATGGTACACTGTGATAAAGTTCATGATGTATACTATAAACCCTAAAGCATACACTAAAACATCAACAAAAAAAAGTTATAGCTAATAAATCAACAAAGGAGGTAAAGTGGAATCACAAAAATACTCAGTTCTTCCAAAAAACAGAAGAAGGGGAAAAAACTGATGCAACAGGAACAGAGGGAAAACAAAGAGCAAGACACAAAATTTAAATTCAGATACCTACATATCAATAATCACATTAATTGTAAATGATATAAACAGCCCAATTAAATAAAAGGCAGATGTTGCTAGATTGGATAAAAAAGCAAAACCCAACTATAAATTGCCTGTAAGAATCTAACTTTAAATATAAAGACACAGATACCTAGACTAAAAATAAAAGGACAGAAGAAAGAGATACCACAATAACTCTAATAATGAGAAAGCTAGATTTGCTATATAAATAGCAAATTTCAAAGCAAAGAGTATTAATGGGATAAAGAGAGTCATTTTACAATGATAAATGGGTCAATCCAAGAATAGAAACATCAAAATCCTGAATGTTTATGTAACTAAAAACAGATTTTTGAAATATATGAAGCAGTAATTGACAGAACTGAGTGGAGAAACAGTCCAAAAATATTAGATTTCAACAAACCTGTTTCAATAATTGATAGAACAATCAGAAAATCAGTAAGAATACAGAAGAATTGAACATGGTTATCAGTCATCTTGACATAACTGATATTTATGGAACACTCTACAAACAAAAGAATAAGCAGTTTTTAAAGTGCATAAGATAAATTTACCAATAGACTATATTCTGGAACACAAAACCAGTCTCATTAAAATTAAAAGGATTTAAGTCATACAAAGTACATATTCTGACTGAGATGGATTTAACTAGAAAATAATCATTGTAAATCAATCCATACAAAGACAGTTACACAAGTGATTAAAATAGCTTCAATTGCAATTAAGCCCAAGCTGGAAAACAACTCAAATATTCAAATATTTCCAAATATTTGGAAACTAAATGACATGTTTCTCAATAAATGATGAATCAAAGAAGAAATCACAATGGAAACTAGAAAATATATTTACTAATTTACTAATAGAAGAGAAATGGAAGTTCAGCATATCAAAATTAGTGAAATTTACCTAAAGGAATACTCAGTGGAAATTTTATTTTACTAACTGCCTGTATTAGAAAGGATAAAGGTCTCAAATCAGTAACTTCAGCCTCTACTTTAAGAAACTAGAAGAAAGAGAACAATGAAACTCACCATAGTAAACAGAAGAAAGGAAAAAATGGAGATCAAAAATAGAAAAAGAAAACAAGAAAATAGAGAAAACCATGGAAACCAAAGTTTGTTCTTAGAGATGATCATTAAAATTGATGAAATCTCTACTCAGACTGCTAAGAATAATAGAGAGAGAAAGAGAGAAGAATACAAACTACCAATATCAAGAGTGACAGAAGTGACATCACTATAGATTCTACAGATATTAAAAGGATAGTAAGGAAGTACTGTGAACAACTTACACCAACAAATTCAGCAATATAGATGAAACAGGTTCCTTGAAAAGGATAAAATACCAAAGCTCATTAAAGCAGAAAGATATAACCTGAATCACCAAATATTCATTTTAAGAAATAAATATGCAGTTATAAACATCCTACAAAGAAAACTCTAGGACCAGATGGCTTTATTGGTGAATGCTCCCAAACATATAAGAAACAAATATTACCATTTCTACACAAACTCTTTCAGAAAACTGAAGAGGACAAACTTTCCAAGTTATTGCAATAAGGCAGCATTATGCTAACAACAAACCCAAAGACAGTGCAAGAAAACAAAGCTAAAGATCATCTCTCATGAACACGTCTGCAAAAAAAAAAGTCCTTAACAAAATGAATACAACAACACAGAAAGAGGATAATATATCAATATATGACCAGGTGAGGTTTATCTCTGGAATGTTAAGTTGGTCTTAATGTTTGAAAAATAAATGTAATTCACCCTGTTAAGAAACTAAAAGATCCAATTAAAGATGTTTAAGAAAAAAAAAAGAGTGGAATGCACATTGATCTCAAGTCCATGTGAAATGTTTTTCAAGATGGACTGCAGCTACACAGAGCAAAACAATTCTCAATAAATATTAAATGTTTAAAATTGTAAAAATATCTTTTCTACTATAAAAAAAGAAACTAAAAGAAAAGCAATACAATCCTTTCAAAAAATGAAAAAATACAGAGAAAACACATGACAAAATCCAATATCCATTCCCGGTAAGTGTAAGAATATGAACAGAATTAACTGAATCTGCTAAAAAGCATTATTGAAATATACCTTCTGCCATAGTTAATAGTGAAAGATCAAAGATCAAAACAAGGGAAGGATGTTTAGTCTTACCACTTTTATTCAGTATTGGACTGAAAGTTCTAATAAGTGTGATAAGATAAGAAAAAGAAATAAAAGGAGTCCAGATGGGAAAAGAAGAAAAATTGTCTCTATATTCACAGATGACATAATCATCTAAGGAGAAAATTCTATGTAATCTTTTTGTAAAAAGTTACTAGAGCTAATAAGTGAGCGTAGCAAAACTGCAGAATACAAGATCAATATATAAAAATGAACTGCATGTGAAAATACTAGCAACAAAACCATCAGAAATTGAAATTTTAAAGATAATACCATTTACAATAACATTAAAAAATATGAAATATTTAAGGGTAAGTCTTAAGACACACAAACTGAAAATTATAAAACATTGCCAAGTAAAATTAAAGTCCTAGATAAGGGAGATATACTGCCATCATGGATTGGAAGATTTAATAATTGTTGTCAATTCTCCCTAAATTGATATATAGATTCAAATAAATCCCAGGAGGAATTTTGGTAAAAACTGACAATTTAATTATCAAATCCATGTGGAAATACAAAAGACCTAAAATACCTTAAACAATTTTGAAAAAGAAGAAGAAAGGACATATACTACCCAGTTTTAAGAGTTAATATTAAGCTATAGTAATAAAGACAGTGTGGTACAAGCATA